TTCCCACCAGCAGTGTAAGAGGGTCAATATGGAACATTCTTGACTTTTATCTGATATTAGTGAGAATTCTTTGAATTTCTCACTATTAAGAATGATGTTATACAGATTTTGGTAGATTGTTTATACCAAGTTGTCATTGTCATCTATTCCTAGTACTTAGACTTTTTCTATAATGGGGATGTTTAATTTTACATGTGTTTCTCTGTGTGAAATGATAATGATCATATGTCTCCAACTATTATTGTAGACTCATCTATTTCCTAATTTCTGTCATTTGCTTATCATATTTTGGTGCTGTGTGTGCATGCCTATATTTTATCAGCATATAACTTATAGTATTTAGGCCCAATTTCTTGTATTACTATCTTGTATTTATCTTATATCTGTAGTAAAATGTTTCAGTTCCTTTCACGCTCCCTTTTTGTGTCCATTTTCTAGCTGTTTTTCCTTTGTGGTTACTATAGAAGTTATATTTATTATCCTAAAGTTATAACATTCATGCTGGAGTGATAGTACAGCAGAGTGATAGTACAGTGAGTAGGGCACTTACCTTGCTTGTGGCTGACTCAGATTTGATCCCTGGCATTCCATATGGTCTTTGAGCACTGCCAAGAGTGATCCTTGAGCACCATAGCCTGGAGTAAAGCCTGAATACAACTGGGTGTGGTCCAAAAACCAAAACCCAAACCAAATAAATTTACAACATTCTACTATTAGATCATTTTCTCGAGCAGGCCCAGTAACGTCTCCATCGTGAGACTTGTTGTTACTGTGTTTGGCATGTTGAATACATCACGGGTAGCTTGCCAGGCTTTGCAGTGAGGGCAAAATACCCTCGGTAGCTTGCTGGGCTCTCCGAGAGGGGTGGAGGAATTGAACTCGGGTCGTCGGCCGCATGGGCTGTGTGCAAGGCAAATGCCCTACTGCCAGCCCGGCAGAGCTGGGTTGGATTCCTCTGCCCCTCTTGGAGAGCCCGGCAAGCTACCGAGATTATCTCGCCTGCATGGCAAAGCCTGGCAAGCTACCCATGATGTGTTCGATATGCCAAACACAGTAACAAGAAGTCTCAAAATGGAGATGTTACTGGGCCCGCTCGAGCAAAATCGGTGAACAACGGGAGGACAGTGACAGTGACAGTGACCATTAGATCACAGAATTGAAATTGTCAAAGGTGGGAGAGTGGGTTTAAAGAATTCAGTAAACTGTGGAAGAAGAATAGTGGACCCATTGTCTTAGGCATGGTATGGTAGCATTAGCCCCTAAAAGCATAAATACTTACATGCTTATAAATGAAGTTTAGCTAAATAAAAATTAAAACAATAAAATGTTATACTTCAGATTTAAAATTAAAATATAATAATTTACATAATAGAATGTATAACATTGTAATTTGATTTTTTGCCAACTTAATTTTAACTAACATACACACAGCACCTCTATTAATTTAACATGTGCTCTCTTTTTAAGTATCTCAGGCCACACTTTATTGTGCTTAGGGCTTAGGACTTACTCATGGCACTGTGCTCAGGATCACTCCTGCTGGTCTCAGGAGGCCACACATGTGTCCGTGATTAAACCCAGGCTGGGAATGTACAAAGCAAGTGTCTTCCCTGCTGTGCTATCTCTCAGCCAAATGTGCTCTTATTAACTGCTCCCCCTGCCACTTCTGTGCAATGGTGATGAAGTTCTCAGCTTCAAATTGGACCATTTATGACATGAAATTGAAATTCAAATTCAAATTGGACCATTTCTTCTATACATTAGAAAGCATGCTGAGGCACCTCTTTACAATCTTAATAAAGCTAAACAACTGGGTTCTACACTTAATCATTTTGGTACAGGGGTGTAAAATCTTATCACGCCGAAGGTTGTATGTTCACGGGCTCACTGGACGGCACTGTTTCACCACCTGCGTTCGGTGCTCTTGAGCCACTGTGTGTGGCCTGGATCGGAACGGCTGTTGGTCAAGGGCAGACAGAAGAAAAAACGGGGGCCAGGCCGGTCTATATCAATAGTAGTTTATTCCAATCCTCTTCACTCCTGTCTTTCTCTGGGCCCCAGTCTTGGAGGCTCTCTCCTTCTGGCTCTGACTCTGGATCTCTGGAGCCCGAGCTCTCTCACTTCTGACTCCTTTTCCGAGCTTACGTCTTAGTTTATATAGCAGTCACATAAGGCGGTGACATAAAGGTGGGTTGAATACTGACGAATCAACAAAGAGAGGTAAGACCACTCCTCCAGGAGATTAACTCAAGGATAAAATCTCATCTACAGAGATTACTTCAGATTACTAGGAGATCCACCCAAGGGTGGGATCCCAACAAGGGTGTGTTCTTCCTTCAGTTAGTAATCTACTTAAATAGTGGTAATAAATCTACTTCTAATATTTCTAGCAATGTCATTCTGTATGAGCACAGTAAGAGATATAAATTTAGTTTGGTTCTTCCTGAGAACATCTCACTATACATTTCGCAGTCCTCAGGCCAGGTTAATCTTCCTAGCTCCAGCAAGGTCCTAGTCTCGTCGTTACTTACTTTTGGATCATGACAGCATTTGTCCATGATCATGCCCTCAACTTATAGTTGAGTATCGTGGCTCTTTGGCCTGGCCCATTTCGATGCCAGGGTAGCTCACTGCTTGCCCTGGGTCCATTCAGTCCCTCGTCGGGACCCTGCTTTTGGGGTGCTAGGAACTAAGGGCAACTGAGTCAAGAAATCAGATGCCCAGGAGTAAATATTATTCGGAGTCAATCAACTACCAAGTTACAAAGCATAATATTAACTGTCTTCCTGTGTCCACACAGAAAGGACATAGCTTACAATACAAGTTCAGTGTTCTTAGATGGGTGTGACCTGACAAACCTAAGCTACCTGAGGAAGGACAAAAGAGTGTTATCCTACACAGGGGCACAATTTTTTCCCTGTAGCATTTACCTGAAGTAGGTAAATGGCCTAAAATGTTTTGTCTTCCTAGAAGCCTCTTTCTTGGTGCATTGTGTGGAGAGAGCAGGACTGTTTCTGTTGGTTTATGTTTTAGTTTTATTCCCTCCATCTTCATACAATGAGCTATATGGGTGGCTGCTATTTTAAGCTCTAAGCATGGAATGGATGAGAGAAAAAGGAAACCCAGTGAACTCACTTTGGTGTCTTTTTCTGTGCCCTAACTTTCTTAGTTGGTCTTCCTTCTTCTCTCGACATTTCAGAGTTTTCATATTTAAAAAGTATGTGATATTAAGGGGTCTTGGTTGCACTTAGTTGGAGGAATAAGGAAAAGCACATTTGTTCCATCTTCCTAGATGCAGAAACACAGACTATGTAGGTTTTGATGCATAAGGAGCATATATTTATGACAAAAGTGCTAGGTTATTTCTGGATTTCTGTAAATAATTCTTCTAATTTTCTCCTGACTTTCCCATATCTTCAGAAGTCTATACACTCAGAATGAGTTTAGCCACCCACTCTGGGAGCAATTTATCTTTTTCAAACTCAGTGCCAGGAGCAATTTATGTCTTCAAACTTAGTGCATGGTCTGTTTCTTCACCTAATGAAAACTGATTCCTCAAGCAATTAAGTATGATTTTAAATAAGATGACTTCATTCAAAGCCAATATATCAAATGTGTATTTGATGTAACTGTACCTAAAATTTACTTGCCAAGGAATAAACCCAGACCTTCTTCATATGAAGTATGCGTTCATCCTTTGAGCTGTTTCTTCAGCTTGTGATATCAATACATTTAATAAATGATTTTGTGGGTGACAGTTATTTGAGAAAAGAAGAGGTCTTCTAAAAAAGATTTTATTATTGAATCGCTGTGAAATAGACCTTTACAAATCAGTCATACAGTGTTCCAACACCCATCCCTCCACCAGTGTATGTTTTCCTTCACCAGTGTCGCCAGTTTTCCTCCCATCACTCCCCCGCCCCTGCTCAGCCTGCTTGTATGGTAGGCACTTTTCTTCTCTCTCTTTCTTTCTCCTTCTCTCTTTCACTCTCTCTCTTAGAGGAGGCTTTTGAAGTATAACAACTCTCAAGGTAAAGTATAAGGTGAAAAAGGTATTTATTACCTGAAACATTTATGTAATTAGAATAAAGCACCTAAATTCAGTGAAAGTTTGTGAGAGTAAAAATGATGAGGTCAGTTTTTATGTTAACTGCTAGTGCTGAGACCATGGGAGTCTTTTAAGCTAAATGTTATAAGAGCTATAACTATAAACTATAACTTACATAAACTTATATACTTACATAAACTATAACTATAACTCATACCCATGGAGGTATAGTTATGAATTGGATGAAAAATGAGAGAAGTGTACCAATGTTTTAACTCAAATTGTTTCTAAATGAAAACCAGACATTTTCATTAAAGTTACATTTAAAATCAACTATGTATGATTATAATATTCTCTGATATTTGTACTTGATATTGACTCACTATCATTATTTAATTGAAATATGAAATTTTATCATAATAAGAAAAATATCACAGATAAAAAGTTGGGGTAGGAATAAAGATCCAATTGGCATGAATTTAATCTACAGTTATGACTTGGAGATCAGAGAACAAGATCAGCATTTATGTGATAGATAAAGAATCTATGTGACATATAAAGAATCAGAGGGAAAATATCCAAAATATCATTATTCTGTGAGTTAAAGTATAAGAAAATTCTGTCATTTATGTAACATTGAAGAAAGTTAAAACATATATTTAAGAAATATTTTCTCTGTATTCAATCATGAAAAATAAAACAACCAAAGATTTTAGAATATGGGAAGTTTAGTGGTCAATTTCCTTCTTTTAAAGCCTCAGAATCAGTTACAAATATATGATAGCACAAATAGGAGATGCTAAATTGCTTTAAATAAAGGATGTAAGGTTATTTACATACACTGAATTTTGATTTCCCCCAAATAAGATTGTGGTATATTTATTATTAGAGGTAAAGGAAAATAATTAAATAATTCCAAATTATATCTGAAATAAAATAGAAAATGATTGAATAAATTGCAAATGAACTAAGACTACTTTGGAAGTCAGTGACTAAATCTAAAATCTACACCGGTAGCCACATGATGTCGCTGTACACCACAAAGTCTTAAAGGCAATGAAGTGCGCTATCTAAAATTATCTGAAGGAAACTCCATTTTGTCACCGCCCCGAGAAGACAAAAAACGGTCGGAGAGGGATTACAAAAGTATGAATCAGAAGAGCTTAATTTCGAAGTGAAGTGGGAGAGTAACGGAGTGTGTGCTTTTGCGATGCTGTTTTCTAGGCGAGGAAACAAGGGAGTCCCGCGTCTGCTGCTCTTCATCCTGCTGGCTGCAGCCTGGGAGACGGGGAGCGGCCAGCTCCACTACTCTGTCCCCGAGGAGGCCAAGCACGGCACGTTCGTGGGCCGCATCGCTCAGGACCTGGGGCTGGAGCTGGCGGAGCTGGTGCCGCGCCTGTTCCGGGTGGCGTCCAAGGACCACGGGGACCTTCTGGATGTAAACCTGCAGAATGGCATTTTGTTTGTGAATTCTCGGATCGACCGCGAGGAGCTGTGCGGGCGGAGGGCGGAGTGTAACCTCCACCTGGAGGTGATCGTGGACAGGCCGCTGCAGGTTTTCCATGTGGAGGTGGAGGTGAAGGACATTAACGACAATCCTCCGGTCTTCAAAGAAACAGAACAAAGGTTATTTATTTTTGAATCTAGACTTCTGGGTTCGCGCTTTCCGGTAGAGGGCGCTGCAGATGCGGACGTTGGTGCCAATGCCCTTATAACATACACCCTGAGCTCTAACGATTATTTCTCTTTGGATGTTCAGGCAACTGATGAATTGAGTAAGTCACTTTCGCTTGAATTGAGGAAACCTTTAGATAGAGAAGAAATGCCAGGGCTTCTCTTGTTAATGACAGCCAGAGACGGGGGCAAACCAGAGCTAGAAGGTGCAGTTCAGCTGCTGATCACTGTGCTGGATGTTAATGATAATGCTCCGTTGTTTACCCAGAATGTGTACAGAGTCCACTTATTAGAAACTGTGGAAAATGGAACATTAGTGACCACAGTAAATGCCTCTGATGCTGACGAAGGTGTAAATGGAGAGATTATCTTTTCTTTTGGTGGTGACGTTCCTCCCGATATTAAAAAAAACTTCAAAATCGATGCCATCTCAGGAGAAATTATGCTGACTGGTAGATTGGACTACGAGGAAACAGACTTATACGAAGTTCAGGTTAAAGCAGTTGACAGAGGTAGTCCACCGATGGCAAATCACTGTAAAATTTTAGTGAAAGTACTGGATGTAAATGATAATGCCCCGGAACTGACTATCACATCACTTTCTTTGCCCATCAGAGAAGACACTCCACCAGGCACGGTCATTGCCTTGATTCGTGTATCAGATCTCGACTCTGGTGCGAACGGGCAGGTGACTTGCACCTTATCTCCTCGTGTCCCTTTCAAGCTGGTGTCCACCTTCAAGAATTACTATTCACTTTTGTTAGACAGCACCTTGGACCGCGAGAGCGTGTCCAACTACCAGGTGGTGGTGACCGCGCGCGACGGGGGCTCGCCCCCGCTGTGGGCCACCGCCAGCGTGTCTGTGGAGGTGTCAGACGTGAACGACAACGCGCCCGCGTTCACGCAGCCCGAGTACACGGTGTTCGTGAAGGAGAACAACGCGCCCGGCTGCCACATCTTCACGGTGTCAGCGCGCGACGCGGACGCGCAGGACAACGCGCGCGTGTCGTACTCGCTGGTGGAGCGGCGGGTGGGCGAGCGGCTGCTGTCGAGCTACGTGTCTGTGCACGCGGAGAGCGGCAAGGTGTTCGCGCTGCAGCCGCTGGACCACGAGGAGCTGGAGCTGCTGCGCTTCCAGGTGAGCGCGCGCGACGCGGGCGTGCCGCCGCTGGGCAGCAACGTGACGCTGCAGGTGTTCGTGCTGGACGACAACGACAATGCGCCCGCGCTGCTGCCCACGGGCGCGGGCGCAGGCTCGCTGGGGGGAGCGCGCAGCGAGCTGGTGTCGCGCTCGGTGGGCGCGGGCCAAGTGGTGGCGAAGGTGCGCGCCGTGGACGCCGACTCGGGCTACAACGCGTGGCTGTCGTACGAGCTGGCGCCGGCGGCGGGCGGCGCGCGCAGCCCGTTCCGCGTGGGGCTGTACACGGGCGAGATCAGCACGACGCGCGGCCTGGACGAGGCGGACGCGGCGCGCCAGCGCCTGCTGGTGCTGGTGAAGGACCACGGCGAGCCGGCGCTCACGGCCACGGCCACCGTGCTGCTGTCGCTGGTGGAGAGCGGCCAGGCGCCCAAGGCGTCGTCGCGGGCGGCGTTGGCCGGCGCGGCGGCGGCGGCGGGCCCTGGCGCGGCGCTGGTGGACGTGAACGTGTACCTGATCGTGGCCATCTGCGCTGTGTCCAGCCTGCTGGTGCTCACGCTGCTGCTGTACACAGCGCTGCGCTGCTCGGCGCCGGCCCGCGAGGCTGCGTGCGGGGCTGGGAAGCCGGTGCTGGTGAGGCCGAGCGCGGTGGGGAGCCGGTCGCACTCACAGCAGAGAAGGCAGAGGGTGTGCTCTGGGGAGGCTCCGCCCAAGACCGACCTCATGGCCTTCAGCCCTTGCCTGTCTCCAGGACTGAACACGTCGGAAGAAAATGAATGCCTAGAAACAAATTCAGACCTCTCCATTCATGTAAGTCTAACGTTTAAGTCTTTACTTAATTTTTAAAATGCTAATTCATCTCGTTGTGTTTTTTAAAAATATCAGTTAATTTTTCGCATGTTCACTATCTTTGAGCACCTAAATATTGCCATTTAGATACCTATTAATTGTTCTGCCACTAATATCACAAAGGTTTTTTATTTTGCAAAATATATGAAAACTGTCACTTTTATAATTGAAATGATTATACTTTTAAATATTAAAAACACTGGACTTGACCATCTTAAATGGTGCATTTCAGTTTAATTATTAGTTATATTTCATAGTGAACCCTACAATTCTGGCCAGTACTCCAGGTGGTTTTGGGGGACTATATGCAGTGGGATCAAATTCAGATCAATTACATGCAAGGCAAGCATCTTTTTCACTCTCCTATCTCTCCGGCACCTCATATAATATTTTAAAAATAGTCTTAGGGTGAATATGAACTACTTCTAATTATAGAAACATTTTATAAAACAACAAAAAACCTGACCAGAAATTTATAGTCGACAATTCAGAAACCACTTGGTCTACCTTAAGTTTACTAAATTTTCATGATTTTAAACAAATGTAGTTTAAAATATGTTGGTGGTGATATTTTAATGTTAACCCATTCGAGCACTAGCCTCATTATTGATCACTTGATATCCCATTACTCACTGATTTGCATGAGCAGGCGCCAGTAATGTCTCCATTCATCCCTGTTGCGTGCTAGTGTAGCCCAATGGCATCTGCTCGTTCTAGGAACACAAAGGACCTCAAACCGATCGTTCAGGGTCTTGACGAAGAAGTCTGACCATCTCATAGGTGGGCGGCCGCATGATCTTTTGAAATCCGGTGGAATCCAGTCAGTAATGGCTCTAGTCCAGCGGTCGTCTCTAAATCTCATTACGTGTCCAGCCCATCTGATTTTCAATGCTTTGGCAAATGAGACAGCGTCCCTGATTCTTGAGCGTTGATGGAGGTCAGAACTCCAAATATTTTCTCTCATTTGAGTGAAGCGTGATACTCCAAGCATAGCTCTTTCGAGTCCTCTTTGAGAGACCCGAATAGCGTACTCAACCTGTTTTCGTAGGGCCCAGGTCTCTGAGGCGTCTGTTAATGCAGGAAGAACAGTGGAATCGAAGAGCTGTGCTTGGAGCTGGAGGTGCTTCATCCTCTTAGTTATTTCTTCAATGCTCTTGAAGGCGTTCCAAGCCACTCTCTTCCTCCTGCTCAACTCAGGTGCCAGGTCACTCGTCATGTTCACTTATCGACCTAGGTACACATAACTGTTGCATTCAGAGATGGTCATCCGTTGAGAGCGAATGGAACGTCAGGAACAAATCTGTTTCTCATGAACATTGTCTTTGTGAGATTCAGCTGTAATCCGACCTTTCCACTCTCACGGTCGAAGTCGACCAGCATTTGTACTGCTTGGCTGATGCTTGGTGTTATTAGAACAATGTCATCAGCAAAGTGGAGGTGGTGTAGTTGCCGACCATCTATCTTCACTCCCATTCCTTTCCATTCCAGTTGTCGCATGGCATTTTCAAGGGTGCCACTGAAGAGTTTTGGTGAAATAATATCACCCTGCCAAACCCCTCTCTTGACATGGATGATCACTTCTTTGTAGAATGGTGAGATCCTGGTAGTGAATCCGTAATACAACTCACAAAGGATCCTGATGTATTGAGTTTGAATGCCTTGATTGGCTAGGGCTTCGATGACCGCTTCCATCTCAACAGAATCAAAGGCCTTCTTTAAATCAATGAATGTTAGACAGAGAAGCATCTTGAACTCCCAAGAAACCTCAATGAGCTTGGTTATCGTGTGGATATGGTCAATGGCGCTGAATCCTTTCCGGAACCCAGCTTGCTCGCATGGTTGTCCTTCATCTAGCATTCTGCCAATCCTATTTAGGATGACTCAAGTGAACAGCTTGTAGATGATAGACAATAGGCAGATTGGGCGATAGTAGCCAATGTTGTGGATGTCTCCCTTCTTGTATAGTAGTACAGTCCTGCTGGTTTTCCACTGGGACAGAACCTTGCTTTCAGACAGGTAGCATGTGAAGAGCTGAGCCAGTGTATTGATGAGTACTGACAGTAGGTTCTTCAGGTGTTCAGGTCTGATCTTGTCTGGGCCAGGTGCTCTTTGTTACTTTACTGATGAGTTGGCATGTCAGATTTCGGAAGGGAGAACATTGGGAACGACATATCCATCCTTCGGAATTTGTTATGTGGGCAAGTGGACGTGGCTATTAAAGAGATCTGAGTAGAAGTCATGAATAATCTTCTCCATTGCCCTTCTGGAAAATGTGATAGATCCATTAGGACGTCAGAGGGCAGTCATCTTGGTCTTGTAGTTGGTGAAGGACAGGCGGGCATTACGAATGCTTTTCCCGGCTTTTGCTGCATCTACCAGCACTGCTGCTCTTCTCTCGTTGAGGTCTTCCTTGATCACCTCTCTGCACTGCTTTGCGAGCTCAGATGTTTGCTTGTGGTTGCCTGAGGCATGCACCAAGCCATGTTGGCGAATAAGCTCAAGAGTTTTCAAAGACAGGCTTTTTTTGTGGTTATCTCTCTCTTGGCGTTCCTCGCACAATCATGGAGGTGTTGAACCAGTCGATCGTATTTCCCATCAATGTTGTCAATGCACCATGTTGCCACAACAGAGTCAAAGAGCTCCCAGTTGGTGGTTGTTCTGGGAGTTCTCTTTTTAAACTTTGCATTCCTTTCTCCCTGCCCTGTGAAGTAGAATTTTGCAAGAAGGAGACAGTGGTCCGATCCCGTTTGGAATTTTGGGATAACAGCTACATCAGTCAGGCAAAACCGTCAATTGAATATGATGTGGTCAATTTCATTGTGGAACCATCCACTGGGAGACTCCCATGTTCAACGTTTAGATTCAGCCTTCTGGAACTGTGAGTTACCATGGATGGTCTTGACCAACATGATGAACTCAGACAGTCTGTCACCCTGTTCGTTCCATTCTAGGCCTGGGTCCCGAGGTGAAGTTCTTTGGCTGATTTTCTCGGTCCTATCTAGGCATTAAAATCACCAACAATGATCTTGTAGAAAGTGTGGTCTTCTTTATAGATCTTCTCCAGCTCCATGTATTATTAGAGACAATTTCCTGATGCCATTGATCCTAAGTTCTCCTGGTAAGTTTAATGTGGCCTGAATTTGTTATTTAGAAGAGGGTCTGATTTGGACACAATGAACACCTACTATCTATTCAGAGATGTTGTAAAAAGCTTATTTAAATAAATTAGTTCATTGTTCTTTGGCCACATCCAAAGTTGCTCAGAGCTGCTTCTGTCTTGGTGCTTGGGTGTTGCTCCCTAGGCAGTCTCCTAGGAACATGTTTTGCCAAGTGTCAGACCCTGACATGCAACATGGGATCTCGCCTTTCATTTACTGAAATTCATTGTTTTCAATAATTTTGTAAAGTGGATCCATTAGCTCCAATTTATGCATGAAGGTGCTGAGATTCAGAAAAAAACAAGTATTACCATTTTCTCCCAGTTTGCTCAAGGATGCCTGAAACTTAATATTTTCAATGTCTTTCTTTTTTGATTTTTCTTTGTTTTGAGGTCACACCCAGCAGTGCTCAGGACTTTCTCCTGGCTCTGCACTCAGGGATCACTCCTGGTGAGGCTCAGAGAATCATATGGGTGCCAGGGATTGAATCCAGATTGGTCACATGGGAGTCAAGAGCCCTACCTACTGTACTATCACTCTGGCCCTTCTTCATTGCTTTTTATAAAATATTTTAGGTAGCTTTCAATGAAGAAATATGCAAGAGCAAACTTTTAATCTGCTTAAAATACACCTCCCCCAAAAAAGAAAGATCATAAGACATATGGAAATAGTTTCTCCAAACCAAACATAGGCTGAGTGCAAATATTAGTACTCACCTCTCTGAAAATGAATAAATAAATATGAAAATTATAATAAAAGTAAATTCATGATACCAATTTTCTTTCAGGAGAGAAAGCCCCATTCTTTCCATTTTAAATTTAAGGAATGGTTGATGACTAATCATATATATGTATTATAGTAATAAGCTAAACAATATTTTGGGATCTTCTAATCAGTGCTTAAGAGACTGAATTTACATCAGTAAAGCTCAATCAGGGCAAACCAGGCAAAATGGTTCAGTGAGGGGAGCAGGCAATGAGATGCTGGTTGGGCCAAGTGGTGCCTGGGAATTGGGGTAGTACTAGGGATGGGACTTGTGACTGTGTACATAAAAGGTATGTTCCCTTGACCACCGAGATATCCCCTGGCCCCTAAATAGTATTTTTATATCATTTTTGCAAAACCAGATAAAGCATTTGTTATAGATATTACTGTGTTTGCTAGTCAAGAGTATGATGTCAAATTTCATTTTCTATGTTTAATCTTTAAGTTTTACAATAGTAAGTGAATTTATTTTTCAACTATTCAAATAAGCATGCAGAAAAATTCCCCTTGTGAAAATATTACTTATGAAACAATTTGTTAAGTTTTGAGATATTTGACTTCATATAGAACTTTGTATTAGAGCTACATAAAAAAGATCATAAGCATATTTCTGTGATTTTTCAAGCATTATCATACCAGTCATATGAAAAATAAAGTAATTATACACTCAGTTTGCTAAGAAAATTTCCCAGTTCTTTCAAATGTGAAGAAAGCTTTGCAGGGTTATAAAATTGAAAAAAGATATATTAGAGAGTCACAAATCACTTCCTTCTTTTCCCTTCTCTGCTGTTTTGATGACCTGAAGTCATAAACGTGGTTACGACGCTCAGACTTCAAACTGTAGTGCTCACTGAGGGTCATAGAGATGCCTCACACATTTGGCTACTGTGTGGATGTGTGTGTCACACTGTTGGCTGCAGGGTTCGCACATCTTTAGTTGTGGTGCTCACACAGACCAGACCTAGTGTTCCAGGACACACTGGGCATATGTGAGAGGCGTCAAGGATCAAAGTCAGTCTCACAATTGCAAGGCAGGAG